TGGTAGCACAAATTTGTGAATTAATTACCTCAATAGCAAATGAACTGGGTAATATATAGCAAATGAACTGGGTAATAACAACAAAGTATTGTTGTTGCTGTTGTTGTGTGCCTTCAAGTCATTTCTGACTTATGGCCACCCTATCATGGGGTTTTTCTGTCAAGTTTCTCAGAGGGGCTTTTTCATTGTCATCCTCTGAGGCTGAGAGAGCATGACTTGCCCAAAGTGACCCAGCGTGTTTACATGGCCGAGCTGGGATTCGAACCCTGGTCTCCCTGTGTCCTAGCTCAAACCACTGACACCACGGTGGCCCTTATGTTTTCATGAAAGCATCATGGAGAATTATGAAGGAGGTCACGGGTATTAAGGTGTTGCAGGAATTAAGCAGAGCAGTGGAGGACAGAGGATCTTGGAGATGTCTCATCCATAGGGTCGCCATGAGTCGAGAATGACTTGAGGGCAGTTAACAACAAGAAGGAAGCAATATTGAAGCAAAGTTCTTTTCTGCTTTCCCAGAGATTAGGGGCTTTGCTTCACTGACCAGAATACTCTGGGATGCCCCGGACTTATCTGGCCCTGAATTCTCCCCGAATCCTCCGCACCCCATTACCTGTGCTCTCCACAGCAATGATGGGCATCTGTCTTTGCACATGATCATCACCTGGTGCCATTGCTGAAATCACAATAAGGTGCTCAGCCATGCCATCGATACTGGGTGCCTTGTTCTGACCTCAGAGCAACTTGCACCTGTACCAGCACCAGGAGGCTCACAGGGACCATGTGGGAAGGTAGACACCCATCATCACAGAGAAAGGCAAAAACCCAGAGCAAAAGGTAAGGTTTTTAAATTCAAGTTAAGGGAAGTAAAGGTTGAATTGGGTGAGGATGTCGTGATGACATTTGGCAGTTTGACCCTGCATCGTGTAAACAAGATGGAGTGAGCCTAGTGGGAATTCAGAGTAAATGATCCATGTAGACAACCCCCAAGATACAAACCAATTGCTTCAAAGTACAAAGAAGAGATTTTGTGTAAACATTAGGAATAACTTCTTTATTATAAGACATTGTTGGACAGTGAACGAGACTGACTTGGAGAGTGGTGAACTCTTTTTCTTCAGAGGTTTTTAAATAGGGGCTGGATGCCATCTCTCAGGAACACTTTAGTAGTTCTATACTCCTACATCCCAGGTGATCGGTCTAGATAACCCGTTCCAACTCTGTGATTCTATGAAT